GGAGAAGGGAAAGTCTGGAAATTAGGTTGGAGTCCATACCAAGCAGAAAGCAGGCCAAAAGCCACGTCTAGCAAGTGTTTTGAGCAGCTATCCACAGCTTATCATGAGCAGTGAAGCAGTGTCAGAGAGTGATTTTTGAGGGCACTCTTTGCCTTTTATATATTTTTCAAAGGGGAGTGATTACATGGTCTGGGGGGCAGGTGGGTGCCCAGGTGTGGTCAGGTAGGAACATGAGGTCACACAGGGGTGTGGCAAAGGCATGGTCTTCCAGCTCACAAACCTAATCAGTTTTAGCCTGTATGCCTGCCTACATCATTCCCCCCTCCGAGACTGCAGACCTTAATCTTAAAAGATGTTAATGGGCATAGAGTCATCATCTCTTCTGTAGCTGCTTCCTGCTTATTTGGAGCATAGGCCCTGCCTGTCCTTGATCCGGAAATCTCTGCCTATCTCATCTAACAAGTTAGTTTCATGCGCTGGAGCTCTTTCAGTCACTGCCAATGTCTGTGTCCCCTACATGGTCATCATTGCTCTCAGAAGTTGTTGGGTTCTGAAACATAAGTTTGTCAGTTAACATGAGCAAAATTGGAATAACCCCAAACGCAACTGGTGTGTCCCTTAAAATGGAAAGAGCATGTCAAGCCATCTCCCAGACAGTAGGTGGTATTAGGCTGCCCCTATATAGACTGTAAAACCATTTAGCTTGAGCATAGAGGGCTTTGATGTCCTTCTCTGTGAACATGGTATTATTTGAGTAAAGGTGGCAGATTCCATTAATCATTGCTCACATTCTCCCTTGTTCTATTAATATGTATTCTAAGGCCTTTCTATTGTCCATAACTATTCCTGGAGAGGGAGTCTACTGAAGCCAGGGCTTGCTGCAGAAGCCGGCCTGAGGTGTAAGCTAGATTACCCAGAGCGAAGGTCAGGTTTTTAAAATCAGTTTCATATCACTCTTTCGGACTTTGACTCTTTGCCATTGAGGAACCCACTAAGGAGTCCTTCGGCCAATAATAGCTCCCAGAAAGAATCAAAAGAAGAGGTATGTATACTAGCTAAGCACTAAAGTATAGCATTTTGGCTTGGCTAAGACAAGAGCTTTACTTACCTTTTTGCATTTTGAAGAGGTATTTAAGATCTTCAGTTGGCTCACAGGAATAAGCAAATGTATGTTGGATTCACCTGTGGAACCTAAGAGGTGGAAGTTTAATCCTTGACAAATGTACCCAGCTTGGAACGCCCTGTAATTTTGCTGAAGTAGGTGTGCTCAGCAGTACCTGGTAGGGTCCCTTCCACTGGGACTGTAACTGATCTGAAGGAGATCCTTTCAGGTTTTTATAGGACCAAGTCCCCTGGAGAGATGGGCTGCTCATGAGTTTCAAGGTCTGGTGTCAGGAGGACCTTATTGCCATACTTTACCAGAACCTTTTGTATCTGACCTAAGTGTGGGTTCTTGCCTAATATTCAGAGAAGAATTCTGAATACTGGCATAAATGATCAAGGCAGCATCATATGTTTTAAGCTTTTTATTCAGTGAGAAAGATTCATAGGAGAATGAGGGCCCTTATCTAAAAGAGAGATAAATCTGGATTCATACCAAGTACCAGGAGACAGCCACGTGGAGGAGCACGCAGGCCAGGAAGCATGAGGCTGGTGACCCGAAAGCCACACGCCCTGGAGGCACAGGGCAGCAGGGGTCCACACTGGCAAAAGACCAGAAGATAAAAGGGCCAAAAAAGAGGAAGAGAAGGGGCACACCATGTCCCAGGCTTTTAATCCACTTCCAAAGGGGAATGGTTAATTAGCTTGGTTGGCCAGTGGGCACACAGGCGTGGCCAGGTAGGGGCATGAGGTCACACAGGGGCATGATGAAGGCGCGGTATTCCAGCTCACAAACCTAATCAATTTTATCATGTATGCCTGCCTGCATTGTTCCTAACCGTGGCTTTAGCTTAGACTAACTGGAAGGTTTTTAGTTATGAAATTAGAAAAGCAACTATATAGTGACAGAAGACCAGACTTACATAAATACCAAACCAGTACCACTAATAAATATGTTAATGGAAATGTTGTCTGAAATAAAGCATACAAACTTTATAGACATTGACTAGAACAGAAAGAAAATCTGCAGCTTTAGAGGAAGGCAAGCAAAGTGAAACCTGGATCCTGCACTCAAATTGTTTTTCATAGGTTTTTTTTTTTATTATTTTTTTGGACAGGCAGAGTGGACAGTGAGAGAGAGAGAGAAGGTCTTCCTTTTCTGTTGGTTCACCCTCCAATTGCCGCTACGGCCGGCACACTGTACTGATCCGAAGCCAGGAATGAGGAGCTTCTCCTGGTCTCCCATGGGGTGCAGGGCCCAAGCACTTGGGCCATCCTCCACTGTCCTCCCGGGCCACAGCAGAGAGCTGGACTGGAAGAAGAGCAACAGGGACAGAATCCGGCACCCCAACTGGGCCTAGAACCTGGTGTGCCAGCACCACAGGCAGAGGATTAGCCTGTTGAGCCGCGGCGCTGGCCTTCATAGTATCTTAACTCTTCACTTACTCTGTTAGTTTGGAAAAATTACTTAAATCCCTTCTACTTCAGGTGTTTTCATCTACAATGCTCTTGAACAGTGACTGATACTGGTAAGGAACTACATTTTTATTTCAAGCAAGGGATAGTTAAAAAATTCCATGAAGCATCAATTACTAGTTTAGTAATTAATTGCTGTAAAGATACAGGAAATTCCATTGATAGTCCTTACTTGGAATGCTATATTATTTTAAACTAAAAACTATTTGAAGGGATTTTTTAGGTTCTTTGACATAGCATGTGGTCCTTCTTAACCTGTTCTTCCCTAGGACTTAAAAGTTTTATTCAGTCTCTCTTAAGAGTGTTTTCCAGAAATACAGCTCTGAGATGGGGAAACACCACCTGTGATGAGTTGGGAACATAATGATGAGCAAGATGATCATAGCCTCTGCCTCTAAAGAGCTAATACTCTGTAACCTTTACTGGGCAAAATACTTTACCTATCAAAGCATGCCTATAAAACAGAAGAAACATATCTCATGAAATTGTTGTATAATTAAGTGAATAACATTGAAAGAATGGGTGGTACTGGGACATATTGGGCACTCAAATGTCAATTCATTTGTTTTCTCTTATGAATACACAAGAATCAATCAATTATTAGAATAGAGAGATTATAGTAGAGTCTGCATTAAAACTTTTTTGAAGGTTTTATTTAATGAATAGATTTCATATGTACAGCTTTTAGTCTCCTCCCCCATTCCCACCCTTCTACACCCCATTTCACCTCCTACTCCCATCTCCCATTCCATTTTCCATTAAGATTCTTTTTGAATTGAATTTATATACAGAAGACCAATTCTCTACTAAGTACAGATTTCAACTATTTGCACCCACACAGAAAAAGTATAAAACACAGTTTGAAGACAAATTTTACCATTAATTCTCATAGTACACCTCATTAAGGACAAAGGTCCAACATGGAGAGCAAGTGCACAGTGACTCTGTTGTTGATTTAACAACTGACACTCTTATTTATGATGTCAATGATCACCCAAGGCTCTTGACATGAACTGCCAAGGCTATGCATGTTTTTTGAGTCTACAGACTGTCGGTTTTAGACCAGGCCATACGCAAAGTGAAAGTTCTCCCCCTTCAGAGAAAAGTACATCCTTCTTTGCTGGCCCCTTCTTTGCACTGGGGTCTGACTCAAAGAGATCTTTCGTGCAGAACAATTTTTGCCACAATGTCATCTTTCCATGCCTGAAATGCTCTCATGGGCTTTTGATCCAGATCCGAATGCCTTAGGGGCTGATTCTGAGGGCAGAGTGCTGTAAAACTTCTTTAATATGTTGTAGTGGATTATACACAAGAACTTTTAAAAACTTCTAACTTTGGAAGCTATAAACTTGATATTAATCTTAGTAGAAATGCTGATGAGGAAAAAATACATGGTAATGAAATGTCTAAAACCTCTGATTCCTTTTTTTTTTTTTTTTAAAGACTTACTTAATTATTTGAGAGGCAGAGTTACAAAGAGATAGAAGGAGAGATACAGAAAGATCTTCCATCTGCTGGTTCACTCCCCAAATGGCAACAATAACTGGGACTGAGCCAGCCAAAGCCAGTAGCCAGGAACTTGTTCGGGTCTCTCACATGGGTGCAGAGGCCCAAGGATTTGGGCCATTCTCTGCTGTTTTCCCAGGCACATTAGCAGGGAGCTGGATAGGAAGTGGAGCAGCCAGAACTTGAACCAGTGCCCATACTGTTTGCAGGTCCTACAGGCTGCAGCTTTAACCTGCTGAGTCACCGTGCTGGCTCCAAAAATTCTATTCTTTTAATGAAAGTGGTATTGTATCAGGTTTTCATAGAACTTAAGTCCTTTATAGATACTAATTTGTTTAGTAATCTTAAACTGTGACATAGATGCTATTATTTCCTATACACTGTAAATAAGGAAACTGAGGTTAAAGTGGTTAAACAACTTTCCTAAAGTCACACCAACGCTAAAATGTTAGAGCTTGGATTAGAACTCCAGGTAGTCTGGTTGCAGAGTCAGTGTTTAACCAGTATGTACACTGCCTCCAACTGAAATAGGAGATATTGTTTTTCTTTTTAAAAATGATTTATTTATGTGAAAGGCAGAGGTACAGAGAGAGACCAGACCTCAGTGAGAGAGAAAGAGATCCAGTGAGGTAATTCATTCCTCAGATGACACAAACAGGACCTCAGAACTCTTCCCAAGTCTCCCCAGTGGGTGGCAGAGGGCCATGTAGTCAGGCAATCTGCCTCTGCTTTCCCAGGAGCATTAGCAGGGAGCTGGAACAGAAGTGGAGCAGTGGGGACTCAAACAAGCTTGGCTCACTGTGCTACAATTTCTGCCTTGGGAATAGATGTTTTAAAAGCATTGTCTCGATCACAATCTTTTTCCTATTTGTTTATTCAGTGAGACAGTTGTATTTTTCTTTTGTTCTTTTAAATAGCTGTCATGGATGCACTCGTAGAAGATGATATTTGCATTCTGAATCATGAGAAAGCCCATAGGAGAGATCCAGTGACTCCAGTCTCAATATATGCAGGAGATGAATCTGTTGCTTCACATTTTGCCCTTGTCACTGCATATGAAGATATCAAAAAACGACTTAAAGATTCAGAAAAGGAGAACTCTCTCTTGAAGAAAAGAATAAGGTTTTTGGAAGAAAAGGTAATTTTAGCTTCTACCTTTATATGTTTTATGATATAAAGAATGATTCAAAGCATTTGATATTTTAAATACTTTTCTGTCTTCCATAGTTGTAATTAAATTTCCAGGGATAATTCACTGTTAATCTCAAAACTCTGGGTATTATAGTCAGACTGTGTTTTACATACCATGTTCTTAGTGAATGTTTATAGAATAGAAATTAAAATTTGAAAAATTATATTCCAAATATTTTCCTTCCTGCTCTTTCCAGTTTGCCTTACTTAACTGTGTGTATTTTATTCAGAGTTTTCAGGTTTGTACAGAAGAAATAATGGATATCAACAAAGGAAATTAAATGTCAAAGGAGAAAACTTTTGAAATATTGTTCTAATAGTCATCACAAGGACCAGAGTCTTAATTTCCTCAACATTGTTTTATTAACACACATATTAGGCATAATGATTTGAAATTAATGTCCTCTGTTTAACTTACATGTAATATGTGGACACTCCTAAGTCACCAGATATGGTTAGCTTTGTATATTGAGACATCCTTCTCAATTATGCATTTATTTTTGAGTTTTAAAGTTTTAACTTAGTTTATATTTCTTCAGATCAGATTGTTCATATTTTACAAACAGCAGGTTCCACAGACAGTAGTGAAAATGAATTCTTAGCTGCAAAGGAAATTATCCTGTAGTAAAATAATCAAAAATGGAGTTTGGTAGTTTGATTCTGTTAGGGGAGTTAAGTGGAGGAGAGTGAGTTATAAAGGTAACCGTAATTTCTTTGCATTCATATGAAGCTTCTGAATTATAGTGGTGGTTAAGTAAATATGTAACATATTAGGATACAGAAAGAAGGTAACATTTTGGAGCTCATACCTGTATTTAAAGATGTACAAATTACATTTGATGTACAGTTTATATTGCAAATATTTCTGTATTTTGTGACCTACTAACCCAGTAATTCTTATTCTGAAATAATATGTAAGATTCAATTAACTAATATTTCTATTCTTTAAAAAGTAAAGTATGCTTTGATACTGTTTCTGATGGTGGGAGTTATGACTGACTTAGAAAACTGGTATTTCAAAAGAATATTGTGGGCTGGCGCCGCGGCTCACTAGGCTATTCCTCCGCCTTGCGGCACCGGCACACCGGGTTCTAGTCCTGGTTTGGGGTGCTGGATTCTGTCCCGGTTGCCCCTCTTCCAGGCCAGCTCTCTGCTGTGGCCAGGGAGTGCAGTGGAGGATGGCCCAGGTGCTTGGGCCCTGCACCCCATGGGAGACCAGGATAAGTACCTGGCTCCTGCCATCGGATCAGCGTGGTGCACCGGCCGCAGCGCGCCGGCTGCAGCAGCCATTGGAGGGTGAACCAATGGCAAAGGAAGACCTTTCTCTCTGTCTCTCTCTCACTGTCCACTCTGCCTGTAAAAAAAAAAAAAAAAAAAAAATATTGTTGTGTACTGTGTTGTAGTGCAATGAATTAGTGTGTTATAAGTATGAAGTGTAAAATAGTGACTAAGTAAAAGAATAGAAGGCCTTTTTTTTTTTTTTAAAGATTCATTTTGTTTATTTGAAAGAGTTACAGAGAGAGAAGTACAGCCAGAGAGAGAGAAAGGTCTTCCATTCTGTTAGTACATTCCCCAAATGACTACAACTGCCAGAGCTGAGCTGATCCAAAGCCAAGAGCCAGGGAGCTTCTTCCGGGTCTCCCACGCGCATCCCCCACTGCTTTCCCAGGCCACAGCAGAGAGCTAGATCGGAAGAAGAGCAGCCAAGACTCAAACTGGCACCCATGTGGGATTCCGGCGCTGCAGGCTGGGGCCTTAACCCACTGCGCCACAGCGATGGCCCCAATAGGAGGCTTTTAAAGATAACTCTGTATTCTTTTCCTTTCTTAATCTGTAAAGGCTAATTTAATTAAAAATGAAATGTTCATTTAATTATAGTCCAGCCTCTATCCCTGAATTATAATGATTAAGGTAAGATGTGCAGCCATCAAAAGACTGGCTTATTTTTTTACTGTAGATAACTTTCTGAAGCTTTCTCTTTTGATTTCCACTAGCTAATAGGGGCTCGATTCGATGAAGAAACAAGTTCTGTGGGACGAGAACAAGTAAATAAGGCCTATCATGCATATCGAGAGGTTTGCATTGATAGAGATAATTTGAAGAACAAATTGGATAAAATGGTAAGTTGATTTTAAAAAGAATGGTATCTGTATATTACAAATGAGTTTTCTCTTTCAAGAGGTTTAAAATTAGAAATGAAGTTGAATTTTAAAAACTTAAACTACACGTGGGTAAGGTAAATTGAAAATGTTTTATATCTATAACATTTCTATACTTAATAAGTACTTAGTATGTAATGTTGTTTAGAGCTTAAAATACATCTAACACCACTAACTTATTTTGAAAAATTATGATGTGGTAGAATTAGTTTAACAAAAGAAGAAAAGCCAGTGAATAATAATGTACCAGTTTGGAAAAAGAGATTAGTTAGAAACACAGTTCATTTTCACACCTTGCCTTTAAGGATTAGAATGAGAATTTTTTTTGGTATCTACTTGAAAATTAAGATTTATATCAACCGGTAGATTTTATTGAATATAATTTGACATTTTTCCTACTTAACTAGAATAAAGACAACTCTGAATCTCTGAAAGTGTTGAACGAACAACTACAATCAAAAGAAGTAGAACTCCTCCAGCTAAGAACAGAAGTGGAAACTCAGCAGGGTATGCCACTTACTTGTTATAAATATTCTAACAAAAATAGTACATTTTTCCATTATGTGTTATATACATTATCAGTTTTCTATCTGTGTGCCGAGACCCTAACATGAGTTTTTAATGTTTAGGCTTATGTTAATTACTGTTTGGCTTTTACACAGTATCAGATCCTTTTAACATATCCTTAGTTGTAAATTACACTTTTCCTAGAAAAGATTTGATGGCTTTTATTCAGGGCTAGTTTGTGATGAAGTAAAGGAAAAAAGAAGTAAAACCCCTATCTTGTCATGGAGTAGTTAGAGTTCTTTCTTTTTTCTTTTTTTCTGAATATTGTTAAGAGATGCAGATGAGATGTTGGAGTAGAACGTTAGTGTTGGGACATATGGTTGATAGCCTGTTCCCATGAAAACTCTGGTGAGACAAGCTAAGGAGTAGACCTCTCAGAGATCTTATAGGAAATAGAGATGAGCTTTCATAGCATGGCAGAATTGGGCTTTTTGTAGGTTGAGAGACTGAGGTACTAAATCAGGAATAAAGCAGTATCCAATTGTGTTATATTCTATGAAGTGAATATGAATAAAATTGTCCTGACATCATGTGTTCTAGGCCTATTGATAGATCTTTATACTTTCTGAGAAGACCAGGTTAGCTGAGCTCAGTTTACTATTTTTGTCACTGTTTAATTGTTACACATGCAAAATAGATTATTGACCTGCCAACAATTTTAGCATATGCTGGATTCGTGTGTTATATTTTAAAACTGGCAATTGACAGATTTTTGCCTTAAATAGAAAATTGGGAATAGAGTGATTAATATTTTCTAAAACAAGATGGCTAGATCCTTATTCATTAGTATAGATTTTTTTTAAAAGATTTATCTATTTATTTGAAAGTCAGAGTTACACAGAGAGGTTTTCCATACACTGGTTCACTCCTCAATTGGCTGAGACGGCCAGAGCTGTTCCAGTCTGGAGCCAGGAGCTTCTTCCGGGTCTCCCACGCAGGCGCAGGATCTCAAGGACTTGGGCCATCTTCTGTTTTCCCAGGCCACAGCAGAGAGCAGGATCAGAAGTGGAGTAGGCAGGACTCGAACCGGCATCCACATGGGATGCCAGCACTGCAGGCGGTGGCTTTACCTGCTATGCCACAGCACCGGCCCCAACTATAGATCTTTTAAAGCAATTACTGAATTTTAAAAATTACTGATGGGTATATATGTTTTATATTTTTTCTGTTATCTACATTTTACCAACAGACTTTTTAGAATTGCAGTCAATGTACAAGGCAAAGATAACAATATCTGTGTCAATCCTTTTTGTAGTGATGAGGAATTTAAATTCTCCTTCATCAAACTGGGAGGTGGAAAAATTGAACTGTGACCTGAAGATCCATGGTTTGGAAAAGGAGCTGGAATTGATGAGGAAAGAATGTAGCAATCTCAAAATAGAACTACAAAAGGCCAAGCAAACGGTACTGCAGAATATTAAATTGACAAATTCAGTATTTTTGTTCATGATATGTTAATTTATAACTAAGTAATAAACCACTGAGTTAATGTAAGTTGGAGCTACTTAGGGAATATTCACATTCCCTGAAAAATTTACCTTCCCCTTTAATCATTTCTTCTAAATTGGATACCCTATGCACTTAAACCCTGATCTCAGAGTGACCTAATTTTGCTTTTTTTAAAAAGACTTTTTTTTTTCTTAAGAATTTTTAAAAAAGCTATTTTGCCCACTGGAGTGTTCCAACATTAGTAAGGAACTGTGTTTCCTATTTCATGTTCCTCTGGGAAGCCACCACCAGGAAGCTACTACCTGAAAAAGGAATTACTTCCTATATTCACTATCTGTGAATTCCAGGTGTCCTTAGAATGAACTGACATTTCTTTCTTCTATAATGCAGTTTTTATTAGAGGATATGAATGAATCAAGCATTAAAAATTATATAGCATTCTGCCTTGATCTTGACCAAATAAGTTTCTCTGCACTGGGCAGTGAGAACTCACTTTGGAGCCTTCAGCCATGATAAAGGGGAAACACTGAAAATTAGTTAATTTTGTTAGAGCCAAAAAAAAAAATCTTGACATCTGAAGTTAATTTTCCCAGCTTTGAACTTTTGGCCACACACCACAATTCCTTCAAAGGCTTCTAGCATCCTGTTCCACAAGCTTAATTGCCACAGTCATTGAGAGGCATCTTTTCAGATGATATCAAGAAAAGATCTGCATCTGAAGTGAATTTAATTGTGTATACCATCTACTTAATTTGGTAGCTTTTTAAACATAAGGGTATAATAAGTATTACCATAGAATTGAAAACCTGTCACATTATTGTGATTTTGCTTATATAATGATAGGAATGTTTCTAGCTTTTAAACTTAGTTTCTGTAAAGTAGGCATTTTTTCATGATGATTAAATTAGTATATGTGAAATAGCATAGTGCCCAAGATGTAAACATTTTTCAAAACAACTTGATCAGACTATCCCAGAAAAGCATTTCCTGTAAGTGGAGGGGTGTGTGTGTGTGTGTGTGTGTGTGTGAGAGAGAGAGAGAGAGAGAGAGAGAGATGTTAAAAGTTTCGGTTTGGGGAGCTGGCATTGTGGTATCATGAGTGAAGTCACTGCCTGCAATGCCGGCATCCCAAATGGGCACTTGGTTCAAGTCCCATTTGCTCCACTTCCAATCCAGCTCCCTACTAATGTGCCTGGGAAAGCAGTGGTCCAAGTCTTCAGGCCCCTGCACCCACATGGGAGAAGCAGATGAAGCTCCTGGCTTTGGCCTGGCCCAGCCCTGGCTGTTGGGGGGTAGAGAGGGAGAAGTGGCAGATTCTCATAACCACAGTTAACGCAATACTGCTTCTGCTAATGATAAGCAGCAGTTCTTATCTCCGAATTCAGCTTTATTCTAAAATAGTAGCAAACATTCCAGTTGTGCTGCTGTTTGAAAAGTATGGGTTATTCTCATACCACAAGCTACAAATATGTTTATGTGTCTCCATGTTAGATTCTACACTTTTTTTTTTTTTTTTTTTTTCAGATTAATCTCATTTATTTAAAAGGCAGAGACAGATCCTCTGTGCACTCCCAGATGGCTGCAGTGACCATTGGTACCCATTTGGGGAGTGAAACAATGTATGACAGATATCTCTCTCTCTCTCTCTCTCTCTCTCTCTCTCTCTCTATATATATATATATATATATATATAACTCTGCCATTGGAATAAAATAAAATGAATCTTTTGAAAAATTTCCATGTGAAACTCTTCCACTAGGTGGTGCTAAGGAATAAATTTGCTTTTAAATTCATCTGCAAGCAAGTGGCAGAAAAAAATTCAGAACTTCAGAAATTGCTTTTCTTTCTGTTAAAAATTATTTATTTTCATTTTATTTGAAAGGCAGAGAGATCTTCTATCTTGGTTTACTCCCCAGATGCCTGCCACAACCAGGGGTAGGGCAGTCTGAAGCTAGGAACCTAGAACTCAGCCCATGTCTGCCATGGGGCTAATGGTACCCCAAATACTTGGGCTATCACCTGCTACTTCCTCAGGTGCACATCTGCAGTATTCTGGAGTTGGAAGTGGAGTTGGGACTCAAATCCAGGCATTTTGACTTGGGATGCAGATATCCCAAGAGGCTTTGTCAAACTCCCATCCCTTTTTAAAAAAAAAAAAAAATTATTTGAGAGACACAGAAAGCACTCTTACCTGTTCGGTCACTTCCCAAATGGTCATAATGGCTGGGGTTGGGCACAGCTATAACCAGAAGCCAGAAATTCAATCCAGTTCTCTAACAGAAGTTTGGGAAGAACCCACCACTCCTTCCATGGTCTGTGTTAACAGGAAGCTAGAATCAGTCACAGCTGGGTGTTAAACTCAGGTATTCCCATGTGGGATGTAGGTATCTTATAGGAGTCTGAACCAGGCTAAACTCCCACTCCTAGATATCACTTTTCTGATGAAGTATTTCTGGGAAACAAGAAATTTTTAACAATTGTAGTGAGATAAGGGAGGAATAGTGGGGGAAAAAGATTTTGAAACTTGATCCCCACTTACTAGAGGTGAGAAGATTGTGAAGTGTAAAATGCTCATGACTAATATGAATAAATGAACCAGGAAAAATAATAGAAACAGCAATTTATCAGGGGTTTTAAGTTGAAATCTTGATATAGAATTTGGACTTTTAAATCTTGTTTCTGAAATGTTGCTGTTCAGGGTCCTCTTCAATGTGGCAATCTGCAAACTAACCAAGGAGAGAAATTTGTTTCCACATTAATAGTCTTGCTTATATTTATTCTAGTCATATGTACAAGTAAGTATCTTTAAGGTGATACTTTCTATGAAATACTTTAGTATATTCTCAAATATGTAATAGCATCCTACTGGAGTTTTGTTTTATAGTATTTAGTTAGTGTTTAGTTTTTGTTTTAACTACTTAGCATAGTAATGATTGGTGTTAGTAATAAGCTCAAGGTTCTGGGGCAGTTCTGTTATGAGCCTTTTAGAGTTTCCATATCTTCTAATATTCCAGCCATTTTATACTCTGAGCTATTGATCCTGAGTGAAATACAGTCTCCTAAGCTGCGGAAGAAACACCAGTGAAATGGAATAGGTTTAGAAGATGTCTAAGTTACATAAAAATAGTCCATTTGGAGTGTCACAACATGCCAAAGGGTATTAAAAGGTTCCGAGTTGTATTGTGTAAGAACCTGTGTAGCTTGCATGTTATTTCCCAAGATTTTGTAGTTGAGGTACCTATTTATATGAAATGTATACATCATATAAAGCATCAAATGGGGAACAAATCCATTGGTACCTTTAGAACATGGCCAACTGATTACTAGCCAGGAACAGGGTCTTTGGTTATTGGAGACAATCCCTTTAAGCTTATTGCTGATTTACATTAGAGTGTTCCAAAGATATTTTCCCACCAAAACTGTTAATTTTCAGAATATTAATTGGTTTTAAAGATGAGCAAGGTTTTCAGATAAAATTGAAATATTAAAATAGTTTTTAAGAATGAATTATTCAGATAAATTAAAAGTGTGATCAAATTCTTTAATTTCCTATGGAGGGAAGAATGATTTTCAAGGATATTTACCTTCATAGTAGTCAAATCTCTGATTCCTGGGTAAGTTCTGTTTCCTCTCTACAAAGGGCTCCCTAACATGCAATTCAGCTGTCTTCTTGTAATCTAAAGCATTTTTGATATTTTACTCCCCCAGTTTAAGAGTATACATGAAATTCTTCGTAACTTTTTCAATGTTCCACTTCAAAGCATATCATTTAGATCATATAAGAAGTAGTGAAGTTAAATTTTGTTTCCTCTGCATGTACTGGCCACTGCTGCCAGTAGAATTAGTACCTGTGATAGATCCTTAAATGAGAATGCATTGCAAACAGGTTTTAGAGTCGTCTTGGACATATTAAATTCATTCCTTTTATAGCTTCTTTCTGTAGTATCTGCAGTCTAAACTACTAAAACTTGGAAGTTTATAGGAACTTTAGGCAATCCTTTCCAGAGGGACCATTTTGTATCTGTGTAAGAGGAGATTGATGCTGATCTTTTTCAACAGTAACATGTGAATGCTTGGTACTTTTTTGTAATTATACAACAGAGTAAAATAGGGAAAAGCTTGTATTTTCCCATGGAATTCATTCAGCTGTTTCAGCAATAAACAGTGATGTGGTAAACATATTTTACTTTTTTGAATATAGACTTCAGATTGATGCCTTCACAGGTATATTTGTAAGACTATGTTCTATAACAGTATTTTTAAAGAAAATTTAAGCACTGATGCTTTAAGTAATTATAAGTGATTTAGAAATATTTGGTATAGGTTAAAACTTCATTAAAATTTAATGTGAAGTCTAGTTTTGCCCTATATAATTACAGATATTCTGTAAAATCTGAATCCTATCTCTACAGATCTGAAAATAAATAGGATGTAATAGTTACAACTTAACTTTTTTAACAAATGACAGGATCCATCTGAGGATGACAACCTGAAGAACTGCACTCTCCAAAGAGTAAGCATTTCAAGGTATGAACATTCTTCAACATTAAAATATAAGTTCTCAAATTATAGGTCACTTTGTATGGTGCCTAGATTTTCGTTATGATTAAGTTTAAGCACAAAACAAGTGGATAGTCTTTGGATACTGAATGTAACCTCTGATCACAATATATTTATAAAAAGCATTTCATTGTTACTTAGCAACAGTCTTGAACTTGAGTAGAAAGATGCATATTGTGATGCCTTAAAATTCTGACCATTCAGTAATACTTTGCATAAGGTTTTAGGGAACTAGCTTTGTGGAAATTTTCTATATTAAACCTTGATTTTTATACATGAGAATATGTATTTCTATATCTAATGATATTTGTCTAAGGGCAAACTTGGACAACATCTTTGGAGTAGTATGAATTTTTTTTTTTTAATTTATTTATTTGAAAGAGTTACACAGAGGAAGACACAGAGAGATTCCATCTATCTGCTGGTTCACTTCCCAAATGGCAGCCACGGTTGGGGCTGGGCCAGGCTGAAGCCAGGAGTTGGGAGCTTTTTCCACATCTCCTGTGTGGGTGCAGGGGCCAAAGGGCTTGGGCCATCCCCCACGGCCTTCTAGGCACATTAGAGGGAACTGGATCAGAAATGGAGCAGCTGGGTCTCAAACTGACCACCCATATGGGATACAGGTGTCACAGGTGGCACCTTTACCCACTCTGCCGCAACGCTGGCCACATATTATCAAATCTTCAAGAGAAAAATTTCTTTTTATGGTAAAAACAGAAGTAGCTATCACAGTTCATGTACTTTAACTTCAACCCATTTTTTCTAACATAAAGATCATTTTTAATTCACTAGCTTAAGTTCTGTGTTTTAAAATATCTGGTAATTTTTATATCTACTGTTGGATGACCTCTCTACATGAGTACCTAGTATCCAATGAAAAACACTGATTTGACTTTGTTATTTAGTCATTTGGCTTCTGGAATCCACTAAATAAATGAAATGAATTGTCTCAGAGCTTTCCTAATCAAAAACCTGCCTGAGAGAAATGATGAAATAGGGACAGCAGTTTGAGGAAAAGCATGCAACTACTCTTTTAGATTGAGGGTGGGCAAACTTTCCCTTTAAAAGTACCAGTAATAAGTATATTAGGGTTTTGGGGCTACAAATACAATTTCAGTTATGTCTTTTTTTTTTTTCCCTAAGATTTATGGATTTGAAAGGCAGAGTTAGAGAGAAAGGGAGAGACAGAGATCTGATCTTCCATCTATAGGTTAACCCCCACAAACTGTCATAATAACCAAGGCTGGACCAGGCCAAAGCCAGGAGTCAGGAACTCCTGGGTCTCCCATGTGGGTGGCGGGTTCCTTGGGCCATCTTCTGCTTTCCAGGAAGATTAGCAGGGAATAGGATCAGAAGTACAGCAGCCAGGACTTGAACTGTCACCTGTATGGGATGCCAGCATCCCAGGCTGTGGCGTAACCCACTGTGCCACAATGCCAGCCCCAGAATTTTCTCAAGTTTTTACAGCAAGAAACTTTTTCCTTTAAAAAAAAAAGTGTGTAGTACAGTGTCCATGTAAACTATTTTTCAATGTTATCAAAGTTATCTTTTCTCCTGGCAATCTAGGTTTCCCCTATTCTGCTGTATTTGTCATTTTTATAAGCCACTCCAAACCATTTTTGGAAAGAAGCAGAGAAAATACATTAGAATCAGACTAGTTCAAATAAAGAGGCTATATAAATAGTGTATTTGAAGTACGTACATGGCATCTGCTTCTCTTCAGGGGGATTACATGGTTTAGATGGAGAATGTCTTACCTGCATCCCCTCAAAAATAGTTGTTTGAAAGCATTAGATGCTAAGCAGATGGTGAAGAATCTCTGTGCCAGGATTTGAGGGAGGTTGAAAGCCCAGGAAAGAAAATCCAATTTTTGAGATACTGGAGCTATAATTGTGGCATCTGACAGTAGTCTTGAATTCTCTAATGCTCAGTATCAATTTGGAGATAGTTTTAGAAAGAATTCCTCGAATTTAATGTAAAAGTACTTTGTGTTAACACCATACCAAATGGAGCCGGCATTGTGGTGTAGGGGGTTAAGCTGGTGTGTAGGATGCCAGCATCTTGTATGGGTGTTGGTTCAAGTCCCAGCTGCTGCACTTCTGACCCAGCTCCTTTTAATGTGCCTGGAAAAGCAGCAGAAGATGGTGGAAGGAAGGGAGAAAGGGAGGGGGGGAGGGAAGGAAGGAGAACGGGGAGGGAAGAGGGGAAGGAAGAAATCCAAACCAAAGATATGGTATGTTAGAAAACAGAACCAGAGGCATCACAATGCTAGATTTCAACACATACTACAGGTCAGTTATTGCAAGGTGTCCGGCACGTAACAAATCTTTGCAGGCAGATGAATCAATTAATTCACAAACTTCTATTGGGATTCCGCTCCCAGGCGAGGTTCCCCAGTCCCAACAGAGCGGGGCCGGGGAAGTCGTGTGTCAGAGGTTGGGAGGGCTCCTTTTATAGATACAGGGTGTGGGGGGTTAAAGTTTGAGGTGGGTCTGATCCTCATTGGTTGACCTTTAGGCACCCGCAGGGACCTTGACAAGGACTTTTCTTCCCCAGAAGTACAGGTAGGGACTCGCCATTCCCAGAAGTATAGGCCTTCCCTCCTTGCGGATCCCAAAGCTACCAAGTTATAAAAACAGCCTGGTAATGGCACAAAAAGAGACATGGAGGCTATTGGAACAGAATTAGAAACCCCAGAAATTAATCCACGAATCTACACAACCACCTCATCTTTGACAGAGCAGCTAAAATCAATTCCTGGAGAAAGGACAGTCTCTTCAACCAATGGTGCTGGGAAATTGGGTCTACGTGTTCAGAAGTATGAAACAAGACCCCTACATTATACTGTGTACAAAAAGCAACTCAAAATGGATCAAGGGTCTTAGTCTATGACCTGATACCACCAAATTACTAGAGGAGAACGTTCAAGAAACTCTGTAAACATTGACATAGACAAAGACTTCTTGGAAAAGACCCCAGAATCACAGGCAATAATAAAAGCAAAAGTAGACCAATGAAATTACCTCAAGCTAAGAACCTGTGCGCTGCAAAGGAAACACTCAACAAAGAGGCAACCAACAGCAATGGGAGAAAATATTTGCAAACTGTACAACTGCTAAAGAATTAATATCCAGGTCTGTAAAAAGCTCAAGAATTCAACAAAACAGTCCAGTTAAGAAATGGCCAAGGGATATGAACGGACATTTTTCAAAGGATTAAATTCAAATGGTCAACAGACACATGAAAGAATGTTCAGTATCAGTGAAATGAATATAAAAACTATAATGAGGTTTCACCTTACCCCAGACAGAATGGCTATTGTCTAAAAATCAAAAATCATGGCTGGCGCCGCAGCTCACTAGGCTAATCCTCCACCTTGTGGCACCGGCACACCAGGTTCTAGTCCCAGTCAGGGCGCCGGATTCTGTCCCGGTTGCCCCTCTTCCAGGGCAGCTCTCTGCTGTGGCCCGGGAGTGCAGTGGAGGATGGCCCAAGTGCTTGGGCCCTGCACCCACATGGGAGACCAGGATAAGCACGGTGTGCCGGCCGCAGCGGCCATTGGAGGGCGAACCAACGGCAAAAAAGGAAGACCTCTCTCTCTCTCTCTCTCTCTCTCTCTCTCTCTCTCTCTCTTCACTGTCCACTCTGCCTGTCAAAAAAATAAAAAAAAATAAAATAAAAATCATTAAGTACTGGGGAGATTGTAGGGGAAAAGGTACCCTAATCCACTGACGATGAGGATGTAAACTTATACAACCATTATGCCAGAATGATGGAGATTCTTCAGAAATCTGAAAATAGATCTATCATATGACCCAGCCATTCCACTTCCCAGAATTTACCCAAATGAAATGAAATCAGCATATGAAAGAGTCATCTGCACCCCCATGTTCATAGCAGTTCAGTTCACAGTAGCTAAGATAGGGAATTAACAGATGTTCCATCAACTAGAAAAGGTGGTGTATATATATACTATGGGATACTACACAGCCATAAAAAGAATCTCTTGTCTTGGAACAAAAGTATGCAACTAGAAACCATTCTACTTAGTGAAATAAGCCAGTCTCAAAAAGACAAATACTATGTTTTCTCTGATGTATGGCAGTTAATATAGAATACCAAAAATGGAGTGAAATGGACATCTTGTGATATGATAATTGGTTTTAGCCCTTGTTTATACTCCTGTGGATCTGTGGTCTTCCTACTTTTTACTTGTTGAATAGTATAGTTAGTAGTGAATTACCCTGTGATTATAGTGGGGATTGAAATTATGTCTTTGCAAAAGTTAAAGAAGGAAGGAAGGGGATGGAGGGAGGTAAAGAGGGAGAGAAGGAAGTAAGCTTAGAACTATACCCGTGGAAGTACTTGAAATGTATTTATATTAATAAAAAAGTGATCATGGGACAGCACAGCTTTACCCACTGTTTTCTGATCACTGTTACTCCAGTGACTCTAGGTTGTAAGAGCCTTATTTTCACACGCAAGTGCAGAAAGAGTGCTGCTAATGTCGAACTGTTAGGTTTAAAATCATTACACTTCTCCCTAGAATAAATGTATAAAAACAGAAGAGCAGTATAATTAAGTAATGTCTTAATGGCTCCTTTAGTATTCAGATGTACTTGTGGGGTTTTTGCAAATTGGTCTGCATTATGTAGGCAGCATGAACTGCAAAACTGATAAGGTTTCCTTCTTATTAGCAGCTAGAACACTTGTAACTAAATTTGTGGTGTATTCTTGGCAAACTTCATATCATGCCTTTTTTTCTTAGCCTCATCCCAGAATATGTTTTGTCTTTTATCCTTTATTTCAACTTCTATAACTATTTCTAGTTTATATCCTTGTGTTTTTATTAATTTTTGTAAGATTCCTCATCTACCTCTAAATGGAACAGTTCAGATGATAAATTAAGTATACTTTCATACGGGAAAGTACATTAATGTTTTCGTAAGACTGTTAGGTAAAGACTTAGATATGTTTAAAGTTTATTTTTCCGTGACTTCAAAACCTTTAGGAACACTACTTTTTGTATTCCCTCCCTCACACTGCAAAGCAAATGAAGTATTGCAATGTTTCCCTAAGACAGAATGAAACGTTTAATTTCTTACATATAGTATTGTATAAAACCTCATTTAACAATAATAACCCTATCAGAAATTCAGCCAGTGTCCTGTTTTGGTGTTAGATTTAGGTTTATAGCTTCACTATTTATTTATAGTGTATATTTATTTGACAGGCACAGAGAAGAAAGAGAGCGAGCTCCCATCCACTGGTTTGTTTCCCAAGCGCCATCAATGGCCTGTGCTAGGCTAGGCCGAAGCTGGGAGCTGGGACCTCAGTCTGGGTCTCTGATGTGGGTGGCAGGGAACCTAAGAACTTGAGTCATCACTTGCAGCCTCCCAGGATGTGCATTAGCAGGAAGCTGGAATTGGGAGCAAAGGCAGCACTCGAACTCAAGGCACTCTGATGTGGTACGTGGGTGTTCAGTCAACATCTTAACTGCTGTGCCAAACGCCCACCCTAGATTTTTGTTATTAACCTTTTTAAAGGTTTATTCATTTATTTGAAAGTCAGAGGGGGAGAGAGAAAGATCTTCCATCCATTCATTAACTCTCCAGATGGTTGCAACAGCCAGGGCAGGGCCAGGCCAAAGTCAAGACCCCAGAGCTTCTTCCAGGTCTCCACATAGGTTGTAAGGGCAGAGGCACTTTTCCGGTGCTTTTTCGAGGCCATTTAGCAGGGAGCTAGATTGGAAGTGGAGCAGCTGGGTCACAAACGGTCACCCATGTGGAATGCCAGCATTGCAGGCAGCAGCTTTACCTACTGCAGCACAGCACTGGTCCCCATGTTTCACTTTTTAAACCAGATCTTGTTATGGAATTGCTATACTTGTTTTGCTCATCTGTCAGGTTGTGTAACTATGTTACAGATGACTTATTAAAATGTAAATCCTTGGTTTAGAACATACAGAATAGCTTTAGTGTTTTTCAGACTCTTCTGTTTCTTAAGTGATACAAATTTCTTTAAGAAGCATTTTTTTTTTAAGATTTATTCATGTATTTTACAGTTATATAGGCACAGTTATATAGAGGCAGAGAAGTCTTCCATCCCCTGATTGATTCCCCATATGGCTGCAACAGCTGGGGCTGGGCCAGGCCAAAGCCAGAAGCCAGGATCAGGGACCCTGTTACTTGGGACATCTGCTGCTTTTCCAGGCATAGTGGCAGGGAGCTGGATTGGAAATGGAGCAGCCAGAACTCTTAACTGGCGTCCATATGGGATGCAGGTGCTACAAACAGCGGCCTAACCTGCCATAACACAGCACCAGCCCCTGACAAGCATTTTTTAATGGAATAAAACAGAATAGTATGTATCAGAGTACATTACACATAAGATTCAGTATGGTTTGTTGTAACTTTTGTCTTGCAATGTAAAATGATGGTACAACCTTGAAATAAAAAATGAAGATATTTATTTGAAGGAAACTGAGTTGTCATTTTTCAGTACGTACATTTTTAGATTCATAGGTTTTAGGTAATATTATCCCATACTTTATTTAATCTGTGGCATAGGTGGAGAATATCCTGATCCGCAAGCCATATAAAGCATATTATATCATTTGGTCTGACCCTGCAAAGCAACTGCAGGTGGGACTTACAAATTAGCCTGCTACAGACAGCTGAATTTCTAAGTTGATACTTTTGTTTGGCCCACAGATGTTGATAAAAATATCCAAATGCCCCTTCCTGGAAAAAAGCTCCACGCCCCCCGTTATGCGGATATAAAAGTGTGGTAAATTTTCAAATGTTAAAGAAAAATATGCTAAAGTAGAAGCACTTTTCTTAGACAAAGATTTTCATTTCTCTAAGAGTTGAATATATAGTGTCAATTAAGAAAGCTGGGCTTTTATAGTTTTAGTTTATAAGCAGGAGATGCAGGCCAGTTGTATCATCATTGAGATGTGGGAGGTGTGACATTTTGTATTGGGGCTGAGATTATGTTGGCAGTCAACACATTGTAGGTGTATGGTAAATGAATGATCATATGCAAAGTGCTACCCAAAACGGGAAGTGCTCAATCAGTTGATTGACTAGGTAAAAGACAGCTCTGAATTGCAACATAGAATGGAATAGATACTTCAGTCTGTTTCTTCATGTGTAAAATAAGGTTATCTGCTTTGCCAAGTTAGTCTGAGAATGTGGTTGAAGTGCCCAGCACATTGTAAATGTACAACCTTCATTTTTGTTTCATCTTATTTTACTTTTTAGGGTTCCTATTTGGGATACTTTAGTGTTGAATTTCAGCATTTAAGTAGTTTCATATATTCTCTATAATCAACTATATTACTATAGGATTTTGCTGGTATGTCATTTAAACTAAAAACATAGGAAACTTGGGGTAAAGTAGGAGGGTAGATATACAGTCTATGCATAATCTCAAAAATACAGGTTGGTTGGAACCCTGCCAAAAATTTGAGGCATGACAACTTGCCTTTTCCAGTCTGACTTAATGTTTTCAATATTTTGTGCAAGTATATAGAATAAGTTTTTTATGCACCTGAAGACTGTAGCCCCTTAGTGTTAACTATAAAATAGGTATCAGTAACTGCCATTACATTGTCATCCACAAGAGGGAGAACTTACACTTAGTAATGATTTTACATTTTATATCTTGCTTTTTTGTCTTTTGCCCCTAATGTCACCTAAATTGAAGACTAAATGTATTTTAAATTTAGTGACCTAGTTTTCAACATAGTTTTTACAGTTTTCATTAAGTTGAATTGAAAAATGTGTGATAGACATTGTGTTAACATATAATTGTTTTCTCTTTTACTTTCTGCGCCTAGTTGTCTTTAATGATTAGATGTGTTTAGTATTTCAGTACCAAAACATTATCATGGACTTTTGCTTTGTTTCTTCTAAGGTACTGATTTACTGTCTCCCTTCAGTAAAAAGCTTTTTTTAAAATTGTTACTCATATCATGACTGCATGAAGTTGCTCATATACAATATTTACACCTACTGCTATATAATGAGAGTAACTTGGAAGTATACTGAATGTCCAGAATTGTACCAAGGAACTAGTAACTATTGTCACACATCAGACAGGTTCCTATGAGACATTCATTGTAGCAAACATCTCAGGTGTTTACTGGTGAAATAGAGGTGGTTAGCTAATTTTTGTAAAGTAATTATTTCACACCTATCAAAAACCTGCAAAAAGCTCTGTGGTTTTTTAATGCACTTTGGGTTAACAAATGAACAGACTGGAACAAGTGGATTTTTAAAAAAGCAGTGTTAAGTTTATTCTTCTGCTTAGTATATAGGAAGAATTGTAGTCTAAGTGGAATGATAGCACTTTGACTAAAAGATATTTAATCTGACATAATTAAAAATGTTTTTTAATCTGCTACTTGTTACTAGGATATTTAAATTTCAGGGGTGTTATCCCCTTGAATTTTGCTTAACTATAGGTAGACAAAAACTGAAGGTTTGTCTGGTTGGTTTCTGCACTGCTATACTTTGATCAGATCAGTTGTTAAATTTAATATTTTGCATATTCTTGAACAAAATGAGAATGCTGAAGATTTCAGTTCATCCAGTTGGCAATTAAGAATCTAAAGAAGAAAATTATGAATGTCCAAATAATGTTTACTGGAAAATAAAACATGAAAATAGGTTTAAAGTAACTAAACAATTTCTCAAATAACTGAAGTAAAATACCTTTAATTACAAAAATATGAGATGCATTTTTGAAGTTTTTATTCTGTTTCATATACTCCTTCCTTCTCTAGCTTCTGTTTTCTGACCAGGAAATCATCTGGCTCTTCATGTCTTGTGCTGTCATGTCACATTGGTTTAGAACCAACAATATGAGACAGCCCAGTCAAACATAAACAATGTAATTCATGAAACCTAAATGTTATTTTAATGTGGACAGGTATATACTCAGCAATTGATATTTCATTTCAATTCATAGTGTCAATCTTGTACAAATTTAAAATCCATATATAAATGAATAAAAGTTGATCTTGATCAGATTTACAAATGAAGAGCATAATTCTTACTACTTACCAATTGTATTAATGTCCCTAAACATTTTAGGCAATTGCAACATTGCAATTCTGAGACCTGTGAGAAACTCTGGTTAGAATGTTTCCTTTTATTATAACCTTTTTAATATAGTTAATTGTTGGAAACTAGGACAGTGTTAGATCTTTTTACTATTTATCTTTCAACTGTATATATCATCTGAAAACTGGGGCAGAAATGTAGATCTGTTTATTTCTATTTTAAAGACACTCCCTTTTGTTCATAAAAGTGATTAACTTCAGAAAAACAAAACCCTATATTTCAGTGATAATATGCAGCATGCATACTGGGAACTGAAGAGAGAGATGTCTAATCTACATCTGGTGACTCAAGTACAAGCTGAACTACTAAGAAAACTGAAAACTCCAACTACAATCAAGAAAGGCAAGTCAGTTTTTCAGAAATCACCGATTCCAGTCAAGCTGCTCAGAGAGCAACTAGTTTATTGTATCCTCTCAAAATTTCATCAAATAAGTTCAATAAGCCAAAGCACATATAGTTCACAGCCTACCCCTTCTCTGCTTTGGCTTCAGTCTCATACTGGTCAACTTCACACATAAAGGTGTTGCTGATGTGTATTTTCTTCAGTACTGCATTCTTTGCCCCTTGTGGTTTTTCTCAGCCAAGTGTTGCTTGTGTGTATAAGGCTGAGGTGTTAAGTTTGCTCTAGTTGACCTTTTAAACAAGAACTTAGTATAGTCTGATAAAAAGAAAAGGAGAAAGAGAGTCAAGGGCGATATTTCCTAGCTGTGCTACAGAATACTTCAAAGATGTAACTTGTTTGTTTACAGAAAGGGAAACAAAATTATTTGGTAGTTGACCAGAAGGGTGAGCTAAATGCTTTCTCTGTATCTTTTTAACAAAACAAATTTTCACTACTTGGCCTTTCATATTTAACTGCTTACCTAATTGAACTGTTTGATTTTTGTGTTAGCTTTGGTGAAACTAGCTACTCCTAGCTATTCGAATACCTTAAGAAAAAATCGATGCATTTGTATTTACTGAGTTATATAATGTAAATTTGAATGCTCTAAAATTTCCTTTTTAAAAGCACCAGATGTGACTTCTTACAGAAAATACCATGTAATTTAAAATCATTTGCACTTCAGATTGTCTTAGAGCACAAGAGAATTGGGTGGAAGTATTGCACATCATAAAGCTGAACTCAGAATTTCAGTTTCTGGAGCTTTGGTTACTTCAGAATCAAATAGAAATAATACAGTGTTTTAGCAAGCCTAGCTTAATTCATCCACTTTATCCTCATATTTTCCAATGGTCAGGATTGTATATGAGAAGATTTTAGGTTGATGATAGAAATAAAACCTTCTCTAAAGGGAGTCGGAGTGATTCTGCAGTGAATTTTCAATATGACTTTTTGTTTACATATAACGGCGAGCTCAAGGTCACCACCTCTACAGAACTCATTGCTTTAAGGAGCAGATGAGATTGAATCAGCATTTTCCTTAAACTGTATGTCACCTTTGTCCAGCAGTTGATCACTGTTAGTTCCAATTCTTCCCCAACCCCATCTACTTCCTGCCCCTAAGTGGGGAGGAAAAAGCGTATTTTTACAATCTGGTTTGTTTCTTCTAAATCTGCATGGAGTCAAGTTTTAGTTATATTATACTTGGCAAGGATAAATTTATCTTTTCACCTTAGTAGGTTGAGTTAGGATGAGAGAAACCCTTATGATCAGTGTGTCAATTCTGTGTATCTACAACTTTAGAGCAGTCATTCTAAGCCTTTTTTGCCATTTTTTAACTTGACCTGTATTGTGACCATAGAATTCACATTTGCCCATTATGTTTTATAATTAATAAGCTTATTTTATAGCTTTATTTAAACTGCTTTGTGCATAGGTCTTTATTAAAACTTGATTTAGTGTCAGCAATTCAAAATTTAATTATCTGTAGAAATAAATTTTTGGACCACCTATAGAAAAAAGGTTTCAACAAGCTAAGGACTATTATGTTTAATTTAAAAATTCTAAAAATAACTTCCTAAGTTTCCACCACACCTCAATAGTCTGCTTGCCTTCTCTAGACGTTTTAAGAGCCAAGAACAGGATCTTTACTTAAATTTTAACTGTCTGTTTCCAGCTTTTTAAGAAGTGCAGTGCTTCATTGTTTTAATGTTTTTGATTTTTATTTATTTGGTGGGTAGAGTTACGGAGAGACCGAGATAGGTCATCCATCCACTGGTTCATCCCCCCAAATGGTTGGAGCTGGGTCACTCTGAAGCCAGGAGCTTCCTCCTAGCCTCCCACATGGGTACAGGGGCCCAAGTACTTTGACCATCTAGCAGGGAGCTGAACGGGAAAAGGAGCAGCTGGGTTATGAACCAGTACCCATATGGAATGCCAGCGCCACAAGCAGAGGGAGGCTTAGCCTACCATGCCACAGTGCCAGCCCCAGTTCTTCATCTTTCAACAGCTGACTTACAGGCAGGACAGGATTACTACCTCCATTTTGTAGACAAGGAAGGTGAGGTGTGAAGCCACATTATCAGTACACAGCTGACCTAGGATCAGATTATTATTATTCTCAAGTCATAGTGCCCTGGTAATTACACTAGACTTCAGCCAAATTAATGAAGTGTTTTTATGATCACAAATGCAATGAAAATTGACATTAACCTGTGCTTTCTTTTTAGCCTATACCCCAGCAGCCTGCACTGAAGACCTTGGGAAAGATAGCACAAAACTCCACTTGACAAATTTTACTGCATCCTACAAAAGACATGCCCCCCTCTCACCAAATGGCAAAGCTGTCTGTCATACTACATCTTCCCCTTTTCCAGGAGATACAAAGATTTTATCAGAGAAAGAAGTTCTCCAATCATGGACAGATAATGAGAGATCTATTCCTAATGATGGTACAAACTTTCAGGAACACAACTCCTACAGCAGAAATTCTCTAGAAGATAATTCTTGGGTATTTCCAAGCCCTCCTAAATCAAGTGAGACAGCATTTGGGGAAACTAAAAGTAAAACTTCGCCTTTACCCAATCTGCCATCACTGCATTACTTGGATCAACATAACCAAAACTGCCTTTATAAATAATTCTGAAGAGATTCCGGACTTTATCATGAGGATGTTGTATCTCTCTTCTCTCAGTAGCTCTCCCAAGAAATTATTTAACAAACTGAAAGTGGATTTTGACTGAAATTTTGCAGAGTTCTTCAGTGTATACAGCTGAACACACTGATGATATTATGTACTTGATTTTCTGGTATGAAAGAAGAGTACCCTTCAGCTCTGTATTCAAAGAATCAGATATATACTACTATACTAATATACAAACTTAAGGTATGTTTCAAAAAGACAATTCTACCTTTGCTAACAATTGTAAAATTTTGCCTCTCAGTGTAGACATGGTTTTACAAAGTGTGAAATGCCTCAATAACCATTCATTAAAGTAAAAAGCCATTAACACAAGAGAAAAACCATGTATGTTGCATCAGTCTGCATATAGGCTCAAAAGGCAATGTGAATAGGTTTCTGTTGACTTTATAATGCATAGATATGAAAAATATAATGGAATAAAGTATCTAGGTTACTGCATCTCTTAATGCTGTTGTGTTTCAAAAGTGTAAGATTTCAAATGATAGTTGTAGTTACAATGTTACTTGTTGATAAAATTTTAGAATTGCAGTTTGAATTTTAAGACTTGAAGTAACTTGACCATAGAGGCCAGCTTATCCCAGTGCATTCTTCAAGTCCTAACTGGGGAGGAAAATGAAAAAATATTTGAAAAACTATGTGATTCATGAATAGACTATGACAAGCTTATATACCATTCAATTAGAAGTAGAAAGAGTATCACACAGGTTTGTCCTTCCTGTGTCCATAATGAAAATGGCAATGTGTGTATAACTATAGTCATTTACTTCAAAGGGAATACAGCTGCTTGTTAGAACAGATTACCTATCAAACGTAAGTCTAAAATTTGTAATCTTACTGAGAAAGTGATTTTCAATTAGTTAATTAGGAATTTGCATTGTAGCACCAAATTTTGTACTATATTTATATAGTACAATCGTGAAATGTCCCCATACTTACATTCTAAGTGGCAAATCAATTTCCTTGTAAATAAGGAAATTCAAAAGGATGCCTTCATTTGGAAATTGATCTGAATTCTAAAGGGTAGAGGTATTAAGAATATTAGTAACAATATATTACTTAAACCTTTGCCCAGGATAGAGTATTTCATGAAGACTTCATCATTTCTAATAGTTTCATATATTTTGAACTTGAAAACATCTCAGATCTTTTATATTACTATAGCATACATACATGGCAGTGTTCATCATTCACCAGAAATTTCTGCCTTTCTATTATCTCACTTATTCAAGCTTGTCTGTGATTAATGGGATTGGTGTCAGATGTAGGAATTTATTCTGACCAATGAACACAGCTGACTCAAGGGAGTAGAGTCTCCTGCCAAGTAATAGCATAGAACCCAATATGCATAAAACAAATATAAGATTCCAAGCTTTAGCTGAAGAAAGCAACTACCTGTGTAATAACAAAGCAGCAGAAACTATTTCTCATGTGGCTGCATAGGCTGTATATTATATCTAATCTCTAATGTAGCTTACTCGTTTGCCTTTATTAAAACCAAGACTAGAAATTTTCCATTGTAAAGTCAGTCTTATGAGATAATGGCTTGATTAATGTTTTGAGCAGTGCCAAGAAATTGTTTAATTAAAGTTATTTTTATTTGAAATTGAAGTGGATATGAAATATCATTGCCTGTAATATTCCATGATTTGCTTACTAATTCTTGTTAATTTGATAGAACAGACATGTTAAACCAGCTTCTTAGTGAATTTTTTTCCACCTAAATAACAGTGATGATAGCTATCACAGGTATTAAGTTTAAAACCTGACTCATTGTACATATTTATGGAGTACCATGTGATGTTTTCATACATGCATACAGTATGTAATGTTCAAATCAGTGTAAACACCTATCAAACATTATTTCTTTGTGGTAAACACTCAACACCTTTTGTCCTAGCTTTTTTGAAATACATTATAGTCACCCTACTGTGCAGAAAAGGAAAACATTTGTTCGAACTACTAACTATAAAACTTTGTATGCCTTAAATAACCTTTCCCCATCCCTCTCTGGTAACCAGTATTCTACTTTTAAGGTGCTAGATAAATTAAGACTTTAATAAGGAAAGATTAACCAAAAATTCTTATTCAACCAGAAATTTTTAAATGTATACCTGAATCATCTCTGTTCTCTGTAAGATTAAAAAAAAATTGACAGTGCCCCACCAGTAGTTCATAATATTTGTATTTAAAACTGAAAATTTTGTTGACTTCTTTCATCCTTGCTAAAACTTGTGGCAGAAAGCTTCCCTTAAATTGCTTTAATCTTTTTTTTGTAAGAACCTGAATCAGCACCACTATAATGCAACAATATGAAGCGAACACAAATAACAAAAATAAGCCATCTATTCCTTCTTGATCCCTCATTAGCTAAAGTAAAATTCACATCTCTTAAGGAGCAAGCCTTTATCCTAGAGGTTATCTCATCCCAATTAGAGTACCTGGGTTTGATACCCAGCTCCTGACTTCAGCTTACAGCAGACAGTAGTAGGAGTTCGTGGTTGTGACTCAGGTAAGTGGATTCCTGCCACCCACATGAAAGACCTGAATTATGTTCTGGCCCAGGTTAGAACCCAGAGGTTTCTCGCTGCCTCTCAGGTAATACAAAAATTTACATTTCTAAAAGCACGATTATTTTACTGAGTTGCTGCCAAAATGTAACAATTTAAATACAGAGACATTAGCTGTGAAACATTAGTAAGGCAAAAATAAAGTCTTGTCTGATCTCATCCAGGAAGCTACTTGGAGAAGGTAGGTCACACTCTTAAAAGACCCTGTAGATTATCAGCAGTAAACAAAATGGAAGCAAGATGTGCCAGACTTGATTGTGGAAACCTGAGGATTCTGAAGTCTACAATACATGGTTTAGTTTTTGATAGAGCAGGATTATAGCTGGCTATCCTAACAATATACCATTTTGAGGATTAAGACACTGATTATCTGGTTCTGATCATTTTGTTTGCATTTCCCAGAAGCGTCTGCACAGAAGACCTGGTCACAAGATAAGGACCCAGTTAGTGATGTCACATCTAGGAGCTCTCACCACTCTTGGGTGTATACCCTTCTTTCCCTATATAAACTGACCCACTTTACCTTAGTGGAGAGTGGATGTTAAGGACTAGAGTGCCACCACCTTCGCTGCCGAGTCAGTGGCTTCTATGTCAAATATCATTTCAGGTTCAGTTACAGGATTAATAAATTTACACTATAATTTGTCAAGCACCCATGGGGAAAATCACATCTACATAAGTTGGCTATTTTGATTTTAGTCAAAATTCTGAAGTATATTTCAGTAATTATTTTGCCTTTCCTTCATTTAGGTCATTAGAAGCAAGAAAAGCAAGCAAGGATCCTAGTGTTTAAGACATTCATTAGCATGCCAGGGTTCTAGATCAGAGTGCCTGTATTTGATACCTGATTCTCTGGCACCCACCCAAGAGACCTTCCTGGTTTCTAGCTTTGGGCTGGTCATGGGGCCGTGGCAGGCATCTGAGGAATGAACCCGGGGGTGGTAGCTCTGACACATAGTCTCTCAAAATATCAAAAAGAAAAAGGTTTTAAGGTTCTGTATGCTGGAATTATAAATACCAAAAGGCCCAGGGAGGAGTATTAGGCTTGTTTGTCCCTATGTTATGTGGGCTGCAAATTTCTGTATTTATTTTTGTCTCCTTTAATCTCCCTCCTTTTAATTTATTTGTATTTCAAATACAAAGCAGTTGGAGGGTCACTCAATAGTAAATGTGGAACTTGAACATCCATTGATTCTTTAGGGTCCTATTTCATTTAATTAAATAAACTCATTCCTTCATGGTTGTGGGCCAAATTTAAACGTTATCTTAGTGGGTATAATTTCTAGATATAAAGACTACAAACATACTTAGCAAGAAAACAGTTATATTTGTTGAAAGAAGTTAATAACTGGTTAACAAACCACAGTTTTTAATATTGTTCAACCTTAGACCAGATTACTGCATTGGGACAAATTTTTTATGTTGCCTCCTGAGTCCTTAAGTAATAGTAATTAACAAAGATAACGTTTTTAAATGAAAGAAAATATTTATAGTAGCTAAGTTAACAGATCAAAAGAATGTAAAATGCACTTTAGAAACGTTTAAAGATGTAAGTAAAATTCATAAGTACTTATCTGTTTCCTAACAGGCCTTTAGTAGTAATGGTAAACAGCAATTAAAGAGCATTTACCATGTCTGAAGCAGTGTCCTATATATTATATGGTCTTGCAATACTCTGTGAATCCTAACAGAAACTAAAATTTACTTCCACAAGTACACTGTTAATAAGTGGTAGAACCAGAAAGTAGTCTGGTTCATGATTGTTCTATGGCATAGTTAAGCACCTTTGTCCTACTTACTTTCTTTTGGTTCCCATGATTGTATAGATTGAAAGCAGATCCACATGGAACTGAAAATGACTATCACTGTTAGAGAACTACATTGTGGAAGAAAAAAATCCAACTCATATTTACTTCTATCATTTAATAGATCAGGACTTTGAAATAAAGATCTGTATTTCAGGTAATATTTTTCATAATTAGGATGAAATATTTTTATGTAGAGTCCATTATGCTAGGTGACTTATATTGTAAATGACTTCCACAGATATTACAGTTTCTGAATGTCACTGGAATATTTTCTACATGCTGGTGGGGAGCTTCTGTAGTCTCTTCTTAGTAGGAATTCCAGTTTTTCTGAATTCTTCCCTTTCCTTCAGGTATTCCATTTTGCATTCTTCATAAAAGGCTGGATCATTATAGCTAGAAGAAATGAGAGTCTTTTTAAAGTGAGTACAATATGAATGTTAAATATAAGTTAACTACTAATGGCATACAGATAGATACCTAGTTAAAGATTACTTCTTCAGATTGAGCCTGGTTAAGTGATGGGCCTAGACTCACTGAAAACCTGTTACTAAATTCAAGGGAGACAAAAGACCTGCTGATTGCTGTTTATGTAGGACCATCAGGCAGAGCAATGAGGAACACAGCTGCTATCCTCTAGGAGCCCAAGGTGTTGCAGGACAAAGCCTGGATGATAATATGGCCCAGCATACTTTGGAAACCTGAAGGGGGAGGTGGAGCTGTCACAGGGAAGTGCTTGAGTTGTGTTTCCAAGGTCTGACAGGAGGCATGTTTGGAAAGGCACATGGATGAGGAAAGCAGTTTGTGACAAAGACCTGTTTCCAACAGGAAATGATGCATACAGAACCCTGAGACAGGTGGAATGTGCAAGGGCCAAATCATGATGAACCATTTACACCATAAGAAATTTAAATTTATCCTGCAGGCAGCAGACCAGATGTTAACAAAGCAACTATAAGATCAGTTTTGTATTTTGGATGAGTTTGATGGCATGTGGCGGACAGGCTGAAATCAGGAGGAGGATGTACAGTGACCCAGGTAAGAAATAATGAGGTCCTAGGCCAAAGGAAGAGCTCTGGAAATAAAATACTGGATTCAGGGGAGATCTAGGAAATAACCACTTAAGGTTAGAAGAGAAGACTTTAGACTTTCAGACAGCTGTGTAATTCAGAAAAGCATTTGAGGAAGGAGCAAAAGGGTATAAGTTCAGTCACAGACTTTGAAGAAAGCACCAGAGAAGTACAATTTATAGAAACCAGTTCATTCTGTGGGTGCTCCATGAAATTTCTCAGAAGAATGAGAAGAGGGTAAGGAAGATGAGGATGATCAAGGAAGTCAGAATTTTAAGAAGAGGTTTCTATCAGAAGTCAAAGAAAAAGACTTGGATCTAGCTAGCACAACCCCATTAGGAAGAGCAGTTTCAACAGAACCAGGGCACATCACAGTGTACTGAGGGCTGATTGAAGATGAGAAGTTTATTCAAAAGGAGTACAAGTCATTAATGTTTCAAGATGTCACTATAAAGAAGCCAGGAGAAGGTAGTTACTACATTCATTTCATGGACTGTCAATGGTAATTAAGTTTACTTAGAGAAAATGGTATCCCTCTTTGCTTCCTTCCTTGTGTATCTCTTTGAAACAAATAGAATCAGCTTCTCCCCAGTTTTTCTACCTGCTGGAAAGGAAGGCTATTCAGTCTAATGAAAGCCACAACTCCAAAAAATATTCCCTGGTATCTGTGATGTGTAAAACACCATATATCTGTATATACTATTACATTCATGAAACAAAATTAACCCTTCCCAGACCAACAGGAACCTGCCCAAGATCAGACAGCTGGCTAAGCTCTCACTGAACAAGATGCTAAGCCCAGGCTACCCTCTTGTAGATAGTATTCCTGTCCACGGCAAATAAGAAGTGTATTTTGGTGCCAAAAGAAACCTCGAAATCCAAGCATAGAGTGAGGGAGACACAGTACTTTGCAAGTGCCTTGGAGGGCTTTGGGTCTAGAACAGGGAGCTGGGAACTCAATTCAGGCCTTCTACATGGGAGGCAGGGATCTAACTACCTGAGCTGTTACCAGTTGCTTCTCAGGTATGCATATGCAAAAAGCTGGAGCCAGAACTAGGTAGCAAACCTAGGCATCTTTACTGCTAAGACACCTGCCCCATAGTTTTGGTTTTTTTTTTTTTTTTTTTTTTTGTAGTAGTAGTAGTAGTAACTTGAACCCTCCCACCCCCATGCACAGATATCAGATATTTTTGCACCATAATCTTTTAGATTTTCCATGAATTCTTTATAATTCCCTTCTATGTTAAACTAAGATTTTACAATGACCAAGTCAAAGTATAAAAACTGGCTAATAGATGAAATTGAATTTACAAACTAACAGTATAAGATTCATTCACTCGAACACCTCTTAAGAGCACAGGAAAACAGAACTGCAAGAATCCTAAGTCACAGAATGAACTCACTCCTCTACAGTGAAGTACTCTGCACAGTGCCTGGCCCATGAATCAGTGCCACTGCTTGATAATTATCAACGTGTCTATGTGGGGGGGGGGGGGGGACCCTGAGAACACCAAATGTATTTCCTTATCAAAAATGTGGAGTTGAAGCCCGATAATCTTCAAGGTCTCTTCAAATTTCAACATTTTAAAAAAGGCCCAAAGACTGTATATATTCATTACCTTTAAAAGTTAATCCCGTAAGAGCGTACTGACACATCAGACAGCCTAAAGAAGCAAAGTGAGGTGTGTGTGTGTGTGTGTGTGTGTACAGAACATAGCCAAACTGGCATCTCACAACAAGTAACACTACAACATTCCACATTATTGTTTAGTCAGTAACAAGGGTAATGGGTAGATAAAACATAAAAGCACTTTTCAAAATCATTTCTACTTAGTGATTTTAAGGAATTACAAAATATTACTGAATGTATTTAAAGTTTTTTAAAATAAATTTGATTAACTTCAGTATCTATATCCCCATGATTTACTGCAACTTTCCTAGGAATTAATTTTACATTAACCCAGCAAATCCAAAGGCTTGGTTCAATATACTAATTCAGTATCCTTACCTTAGAAGAAATAAATACAATTATATACTTGTTTGCTGGCTTCATATTTTTAATCAGACAATGCTACAACTCATAAGTATGCTGGATTTTAAAATATAATCTTCAACATACTGAAACTGTATATTCAACATGAAGAATTTGGTGGAGAAAGATACAGAATACGTTGCATGTAATAAACTGTACATTCAATATATACAACACACAAAACTACTTACTAGGCAGTTAGACATTCTTTCAATGCAGAATTTTCCTTCCGACATTTTACTACCATAAGGATTCCAGATTCCTTGCAGCATTTGGTAAAATCTGAAAATAAAAATTTGATTTGTAATCACATTAATATAATATATTTCTAACAGTTCTAAAGTCATAGTTCAGTTGACATCTAATTACCTAAACTGCACCTGGCACACAGTATGTGCTCAACAAAGGCAGAATGAGTGCCATCCACTCGAGAAAAAAACAGCTTGAGAGGACAGAGTGGACCTCTGAGACACACAGTAAAGAACCTTCACAAAGACAGAATGGACAGACTAAGTAGGATTTCTAGTACAGAGTATGTATTCTAGGAGAAGTAGAATCCAAGGGTACCATCCTTCCGGCCTCTGCCTACGTTCTCCATACGTGGCAAAGCCAAGTGGAGACAACCCTGCTACAGTGCCTTAACCTCTGATAGCAGGACTAACATTTAATCCCTTCAAATAGGTTTCTATTACATCTTTATTTTAGAAGTTTTAAAATATTCTGACCCATTTGAAAACCAACCCAGAGAAACCTGGTGCTGTGCTCCACACATGCTGGCCACTTGCTACTCTGTCCTAGTTGGCTTTGGGTCAGACAGCCTTTTTCCCTTTCTACAGGACAGTGCTCCCCACCTGCAGCTACTCTCCTGAGCTATCCAGCCCTTCCTGCTGACCACTGGTTGCTCTCTTTCCAAGCTTGGCCGTTTCTAAAGTGCTGGAAGTAACCAATCATTTCCATTTCTGATTTTAAAACAAGACATGCTCCCAAAGAAGCTGTAACCAAGAAACTGTCTTCTCATTATCTTTAAAACAAAAGTATCACCAGTTCTCTCTTTTCTTGAGCTTATGTGTTATTCTTCCAGTTACTGAGGAATGTCAGTTACAGTCATCTTAAAGCAAATCTGTAAGTTCAGGAGCCTCTAGGAAGATACATCCAACAAAAATATTTTTTAAACCACAAGCAACCAAAGGTGACAGATTTAAGTGTTAAACTCACGGGGGAAGAGGGGAACCTCACTGGGAGTTAAAAGCCCTGCCCTGCAACACAAGTATCTGTATCTACCTGCAGTATCACAGCCATGCTCCAAGAAAACTGGTAGAGTACAAACAAGCATGAGTGATGCCTTTAATTCAAATAACTTAATATGCATGAGCGGGAAATTATGAGGGTCATTTAATACTCTTCAAAATCACACAGGATCAGCCCCTTTTGGTTTCTTGCTCAGTAGTGTCCACACACTCCCCAGGTCAGCCCATCGAATCTGAATCTAATCAAGCGGCTTTATTCCAAGTACAAATGTTCCTGGTCCTCTGCAGGAAAGCTGGGCACATGTGTCAAATAAAACCAAGGAGAACTTCCTTGTGCCCTGTGACTAAGGACTGCATACAACTCAGCAGCTTGTTAGCAATGGAGACACTGAGGTGTGGCCAATGGCTGTCAACAAGTCCATTAACTTTCTCTCTAGAGTATCTAGCTATTCCCAGCTGTTAATTTTTTACTTATAGCATGATGTTAAGATCTACCTCTATCAATGCAAAAATGCTTTCAAATAGCGATTAAGACATGGAGAATCTTCAAAGAGAATATATGTCTGTTAAGTTAATCCACAGTTGCCTAAAGCTGACTCACTGAGTTCAAAAGTGGTGATGAATTATGGGCTAGATCTTCCTTCCACCCCTGTCACCTCATTATACCCACCAAAGACTAGTTCAGATAACATCCAGAAGAAATATCATTAGCATGAATTTTGCCTAATGAAAATATGCCAGCTGACCAAACCCAGCCCTTTTCTGCAAACACTGGATAATAACAAAAGTTTGCTTTGTGAATTTCACTGATTCAATGCTTTCACTGACTTGGAAAAATTTGCAGCAGTGTTCAGGAAGTGCATTGTTTTAAGATTTGTCCTCCCTAATATGAATATAAATTTTTATAGGGAGTTAATGCAAGAAAGCATTTATGTATTCTGAACACAATAAAAGTGAATATATATCTATTTTCAAACTTGTCCAAATCTCTTCAGGATTAACTGTGATTGGCTTGAAGCCTCAAGCTGTTTACAGTAAAGTTTTTGTCACTTGTTTAGCAACAACATTTTAGTGAAGATCTTTCACCCTACATGAGAATATATTCATTATAGTGAATAGTTGCCAATACTGGAATTCTAAAATAGTGTTATGAAACACAACCTAGCACAAATTGCTTCTATCTTTCAAGTTTATATTAAAGAGCTTGTACACTTTATTCAATTAAATATACAAGGAATATGAAGAATGTTAATAATGATTCTAAAGCTTTAAAGAAAAAGGTTTTGAATGTATAGTTAACTACCAAAAACATGAAATTCTTTGTCTACCTTTCTCTTTACTTTTTATTTTTTGACAGGCAGAGTGGACAGTGAGAGAGAGATAGAGAGAAAGGTCTTTCTTTTTCCGTTGGTTCACCCTCCAATGGCCGCTGTGGCCGGTGCACCGCGCTGACCCGAAGCCAGGAGCCAGGTGCTTCTCCTGGTCTCCTATGTGGGTGCAGGGCCCAAGCACTTGGGCCATCCTCCACTGCACTCCCGGGCCACAGCAGAGAGCTGGACTGGAAGAGGAGCAGCTGGGACAGAATCCGACACCCCGACCGGGACTAGAACCCAGTGTGCTGGCGCTGCAGGCGGAGGATTAGCCTATTGAGCTGTGGCACCGGCCCCTTTGTTTCTCTTAAAGAAACTACTTAATATCATATATTAAAGTATTGGGAAAAGTATTCTTTTGAGGCAATAAATTTTGGGTCAAAAACTTCTACAAAACAGGTATTCTAAATTGAGTCTAACCAAGGTAATGGACAAAATAATTCATATTGTAAACAGGTACAAGAACTCTACTTTTCACTGTGATATGAAAATGACATTTTGGTGCCTCTACATAAAAATTTTAAGAGAAACAAGATTGAAAATGTTTGTGTTTAACCCATTTAAGGTATAAAACTGAATATATTGTAATAGTTAAATAACCTCAATAAGGTTTCTTGATTAAGCCAAAGATAAATACTTATGGAGCACAGCTATGCATTGAACTAAAAATATCACTTATCCTTCATATTCTTCTCTCAGTGAGTTTCAAGCAACAGTGTTTTGCAGATGCAATTACCGTTAAAATTAAGCATTCACTGGGAGAAGACAGTTTAAAAACAAAATAATGTCATTTCTCTGAATATGATCATTCCAGTTATATTCCCTAAATGTACAATTTTTTATAAATGAATTTTTCCACAGCATTTAACATATACCTATCTACCTATTCAGTATTCTTAATCTCTTCACCAGTAAAGTGGCTGTAAAATGCCTATTTTCCCAGCATAACAAAACACAGATATATTTGGATACCAATTTTAGAATTTTAACATATATATGCTAATGTGCAGTATTTCCATGACCATACCATCACCTTAATGAATTTCACCTTTAAATTTGAGATATCAAATTAATGTAAATGGAAAAAAAAAACTTTGGACGTTCTGCTTATTAAACAATATACTAGGGCAGATTTTAAAATCACTCTAAATTCATAATGTATCCTATCAACTTTACAAATGGAAATTGTAAGCATAAAACTATTTGCTTAGACAATTTAGGTAATTGAAAGGGGAGACTATGAAGCACTTCTGATCAGTTACTGAACCATAGGAGGTTTCAAAGTATACACTGACAATGATAACTGAAAAGGAAGAGTTTGGGTGCTTTTAGTAGTATCCCTTCATACAAAGGTATCTGCAGTTTCAAATCCATAATGTAAATTACAATCTACAAATTTTCTCAAGCAAAGCTATCTTTCATGTGAATACTTCTGCAGGGAACATTCTAAGCCAGGTCCCTGTAGACAGTGCCTAAGTGCTGTGCCACTCGCAGTAATCATCAGCCCTTCTGGAAGCTGTGAAGTCCAAAGCTCCTGATGACAACAGGAGGTCGCCAGTTTCCAATGCGGCAACAGAGGCCTGAGCCAAGGCAGACACAATGAAGGCAGCATTTCGCTCTCCTCTTTCTGATGACTGTTAACTGAAGGAAACCAAGGCCATAAAGCACATTGTGCTGGACAGCCAGCAGACAGCATGGACTCACATGAAAGACTGAACAGTTTGACATTACGTATATTTGTCTATAAAATTTCATGTTAAAACTCTAGATCCTTGCAATCTCTGCATCAGTGATCCTCGTAGTTTGACTTTAGGAAAGAATCCAATCCAACCTAGAGACAAAGCCAAATGTTATAGATAATCCCAGACTGAGAAGTTAATTAAGATGTGTTAAGTTGAAAAAAGTTTAACAGTATGTCTTTTCCATTCATTATTCTAACAAAAGCAAAAAGAGTTTCATGGTAAATTCTCCTTGAGATTCATGAAACTAAGTTTGCCTGTGCAGGACCACTAAGCACCTTTTACCAGGGACACACTCTAACATGGGGGTTTCTTCACTGCATTTTGACCTTCCTGTTTCTGTTTCCAAAGGCTAATCTGTACCACGGCATGGGGGAGACTGCCAGATCACGTTGTTAGCTTAATGTCTAAGAAGAGATCCATCTGTAAATACTGCATCAGTTCCTTAATAATCAAAGAATAAAATAGAAAAATAAATTACGCATATCCTCATCTTCACAGTAGCAATGACAGCTGACTTTTAGATAAAAGAGTTCCTGTTTGGGGGCTAGTGCTGTGGCTTAGTATGCTAAGCCTCCACCTGCGGTGTTGGCATCCCATATGTGCAGTAGTTCGAGTCTGGGCTCCAATCCATCTCTCTGCATATGGCCTGGGAATGCAGTAGAAGACGGCCCAAGCGTTTGAGCCCCCTGCACCTGTGTGGGAGAGCAGAAGCTCCTGACTTCGGGTAGGCTCAGCTCTGGCCTTTGCAGCCATTTGGGGAGTGAACCAGTAGATGGAAGACCTTTCTCTCTGTCTCTCCCTCACTCTGTAACTCTACCTCCCAAATAATTATAGATAAAATCATCTTTTACAAAGTTGTTTTACATGTAAATATTTAATTTTCATATATTAATACTTACATAGTCTCAAAATATTCATTCACT